CACTCAGCTGCAAGAAGTACTGTCTCCATTGAGCTCTTCCTATCCCTGGGCTGCTATGGTACCTAATAAATCTGAGGCTTCTGGCTAGCACACCCTCCCCATCTATGTCACCTAACCTTCCTCACTGCCCTCTACACTATCAGGCCTGTATTCTGTCTCATTTTATATCCAGGATGTCATTTCTGTATTCAACAGCTTTCACCTCGCTACTTTCCTTCATATTTTAAAGTCTTCTGTTGTCAATCAACTTGCATTCAGACAGTTCTTGAGCTCTTTCTCATTCACTCTTGAGTCATTTAGGGCAAGAACTAGACCTCTGACACTCTAACATTTATATAAAAAATAAAAAATAAATCAGCTAACATTCACTACTTACCACTTGCTAAGATCTATCTTTTATACTTCATAGGAGCTTTACATTTTCCCTCAGACTAGGCCACTGGAGACACTGTTACCACTATTATATAAGTAAGGAATTGTGTGGCAAATCCAGGATTTAAAACTCCAAAGACAAAGACTTTAACACCACGCCATGCCTTGACTATAAACACAGAATTAATGTCATGAGGTTTTTGTGAGGACTATATGGGTCACAAAGATGAAAGTACATGGAGTACAGTGGATACTCAAAAGGCATTTCATTCCCTTTTACTGTACTGATTTTGAAACAACCGCTGGAATCAATGTAACAGGCAAAATAGGATTGCCACTCACTGACTTGGTGTCCATCCTACTGACAAGTCTGCTCCTACTCTACGATGTGCAAAGACAGCTTCTTACTTTTCTAGCAGCCAGCAAATCAGGACTGTCCTCCATGCCGATGGCGAACGTCTGCAGGGGATACTGTACTTGGGCCTCTTTTAGATGCTTCAGCAGAGTGGCAGCAACCAAGCTGGAGTCCAAGCCGCCTACAGACAAAGAGAACCAGTGCACCGGTGACGGCCTTGCATGGGAGGGGCAGAGAGAACAACGGACATTCCTACTCAACCCTGGGATTCTACGTCTACCACTCAAGACACACATGTTTTACAAACAGGCATCAACTCTAATAAGTGCAAATATCTAAATTATAATTTTCAGAGGATATAATTTTCAGAGGATATTGCAATATCAGAGGATATTGCAGAGATATTATAATTTACATTGGTTACAAATCACTACACAGGATTCTAAAGAAAGTGCACTCCTAGCTGTTAACACTGGTATTGATGTAGTATCGCTCCAAGTTGCATCACTATGATTATTAAACACAATTTACAAAAACGTTTTACACCCTCTAATAAAGAAAACATCATAAAACACGTATTTTCCTCAAAAGCTCAGGACTGGCTACAAATCATTTCACTGAAAGAAACACACACTAAATAGTGTTAGATTTTTAGACAGACTTCACCTGATAAAAGGCAGCCGATCCTTCTGTCTGTCATCAAACGCTTCTTAACCGCATTGTTAAAAAGGATTCGGAGGTTGCTCTTCACAGTTTCCAGCTCAAAACCTAGGAACACACGAAGTCAGGTCAACAGCTCTAGGAAAGCGGAGCCTGATGTAGGGAATGAAATGATGTGCAAGGTCATCCACGTCCCCCGCGATGGCCGGCAATCAAGAGTGGAGTCTGCCCCACTGCAGGCTGTCGCATCCAAGTGACATAGGAAATGGGTCTTAAGCTCAAATCACTCAACTGATGGGACAGTATAACGTGTCTTTGGGGCAAAGCGCGGGGAACCAGTAGCTGTTTGTTACCGGGAAAGAGTTTTTCCACGCCGTCGTGGCACACATGCGCGGGCTCGTCGGTGCAGTGATGAAATTTAACCATTTCCACAGATGTCACTTTGCCACTGGGCTTTAGATCCAAAACTTCATAGTGTCCTGGAGGAAAAGGCTCCACCTTGAGAAACGGAGTTGTGGAGTGCTTCAGTGTAACGAGACCTACGAAGTTTAGAGAGAGAACTTCTTCAGTAAGGCAGTACTTCGCGGTAACTTTCACCATTATGAAAAGTTCTGGATAAAGAATAAAGCGCCCTCAAAATGTTAGTTATACAGGGCTATGTACAATATATTAGAGGTCATTAAAGATTTCTACGAAATAGTATCAATCTTATTTCGGGATATACACATTTTTTTCGTGTGTGTGTAAAAGACAAGGAAGAAGTAATATAAAGGAAAT